TTTCTACCCACCCCACCCCCAGGACAAAGGCAGTTTCCTGCAGTCTGGGGGGACTGGGGCTCTGACGGTTCCTTGCCCCGGCCCCAGGAACAGATGAGCAGCCTTGTGTCACACAAAGTCCTGTCCACGGTGTGGGAGTTGGAGTGGCCCTTGCTTCTCCAGCTGCCACAGCTATTACTTCATGTCAGAGAAGGATCCAGGGCGTAGATGATACGCCTGCTGCACCCTGGAACCTGCGCGGGTCCTGTGTACACCGCACCACCCAGGGACTCTGTCCAGTCTCCTGCCCACCCTCAGTCCTTCTCATGAGAGAAAGCAGGCTCTCTTGTATCTAGGGCTCTGGGGACACCAAACTACCTTGCTAGCCCATAGGCAGGCTTTACAGGTTGATTACAGTTTTAGCTGTCTTCTTCTTGCCTCCTGTAATGGCAGCACTTTTTCCTGTGCTCTGCCAAGAGAGAACGAGTTCACATGGCCCATCTTCTCTCACAGGGACTTATCACCCTTTGGAATTCAGGTCAGCTGAGGGTCACTCAGTGAGGAACCAGTCTCTGAGCTGTGCAGCTTTCCCCATGTAGGGTCAGAACAACAGTGTCTTGCAGCTTTCCTCATCTTAAGCAGCAGCAGATCTCCTGCTTCCCTTTTAAGAAACTTGCAAACAGTTTTACCATGGCCTGCAGACCCTGCAAGGTCCTATCTGCCTGTCTCCCCACACAGTCTCCCATGGCTCCTCTTCGCCCTCGCTCACCACCCTCCAGTAACAGTGCTCTCTCGGTCCCGCAGGCCGAGCTCGTCCCCCTCCCAGAGCCTTTGCACTTGCTGTCGCTCCGCAGCCTAGAGCGTTCTTGCCCACATCTGTACCCGTGTGACTCCAGCAACTCCAGGCAGTCTTCCTCACAGCTGGACAGTATCCCCGTATCTAACATACTGTCTTTAATCAGTCCCCAAGGGTGGTTATTTAGATTTTCAGTCTTTTATTTTTATAATTAATTATCTTGTACATAAAGGTTATCTGTAAGATAAATTCTTAAAGAACTGCTGGATCACATGGAGCCAGTTCCAGGCTTTCCCTGGTGGCTCAGATGGTAAAGAATCTGCCTAAAATGCGGGAGAAGTGAAGTGAAGTCGCTCTGTCGTGTCTGACTCTTTGCAACCCCATGGACTATAGCCTACCAGGCTCCTCCGTCCAAGGCATTTTCCAGGCAAGAGTACAGGAGTGGGTTGCCATTTCCTTCTCCAATTCCTGGGTCAGGAAGATCCCCTAGATTCACTATGTGAATTTGCTATTCACAGTGACAGCCCACTCCTGTATTATTGCCTGGAGAATCCCATGGACAGAAGAATCTGATGGGTTGCAGTCTGTGGGGTCACAGAGTCAGACACGACTGAGCAGCTAACACTTTTCAGCCTAAGTGGTTAAGGGTTTGGGCCCTACTGTCTGCCGATGTAACTTGGGCAGGTGATGGAAGCTGTCCATGCCTGTTTCCTCATTTGTAAAATGAGGGTAATAACAGTACCATTAAAATTGTGAGATATGAGAAAGTACATCACGGCCACTCCATCATTGTGAACTATTGTTATTGGCATTTGAAAGTTTAGGTAGACCTTGACACGGTTCTCCCATACATATGTTATCATATCTATACTCCCGTCAATATGAGAATATTGCCTCTTCATACCCTCAACTCAATGTCTTATTAAACTACTTTTTACCCTTCACAAACATGATGAATATGGCCTCTCATGATAGTTTAATTTGTATTTTTCTTGTGAAGAGTGAAATTAAGCTTATTTTCATATTTTAAGTACTTTTGTGTCCTGAATGTTCTACAGACTCCTATTTGTCATTTCCTTTCTTTTACTAATTTATGGAAGTTATTTATATGTTAAGGAGTTAAACTTTTGTCTGTGCTATGAATTACTCTTTCAGAGTATCCAGTACTTTTCTTTCCTCGTACTTATTCCTATTTTTGATGATGTCTTTATTTATGATTACTTTGTTAATGTTCCATAAGACCAAGGTCCAAGTTTATTTGTTATTCATTATCTATCAAACACCAAGTAAAATGCTGAACACATAAAAATAATCAATTACAAAAAATGATCAATAAATATTTAATGAATGGGCCAAATATGACAAAGAGAACTTTAATACATAAGTAGACTGGGGAAATGGAAGGGAGCTATTTTGTATGGGCCTGTGAGGAGTTTGGTTTTGGATACATGGAGTGTTAGGTGACAGCCAGTATTCTAAGTTGAATTTGCAGGAGACTCCTACTTTGGCAAAGTACTCATGAAGAGTACGCTGGAACAAATGATCTGTGATGGAAAGAATGTTATGTGAGGGTTCATAAACAAATACTTGCAGTCAGAAACAATAGTTGTCATAACAGTTCTAAAGCAAATATGAAAAGAAAAGGAAAATAAGAGCATTATATATTTGCGAGTATAAAGATGTGGGGAATGTAGAAAAATGTTAATGCCTTGGGTCTATTTCTAGTATAACAATTATCAAAAAGTATTTAGATAATATGTTTTATTTATACCCAAATCACTCACTATGAAGTGATGAAAACCTTTACTATGGGAAAATTGAATCCATCATAGTTATACAAGCTTTTAGAAATCAAATATCCTTTCCCTATAAAGTAGGATATTTGGTTTATCAGTATATTGTGGTTTTTAATTTATAAATGGACAGTGATTGTGTTTTCCATCAATGAACTCTCACTGAAAGATAGCCACTATCGCTTTAATCCCCAAGTCTGTTTTTTCAGACTGTATTATGTGCATGAAAAAGAAGAAACCACCCTGTCTTCTAAAAAGAAATGCTGTTTTTTCAGAACAGATAATTTATTCTAAAATATTATTTCATTCACAAAAATATCTTGAGGGCTACAGTCATTGAATAATCATTTTGACTTATATAGGTATGAATTGGTACCTTTAATAAATCTGTTGTGAAGTTATAGTCCTTGTAATAATTGTAAGAAAAGAATCAGGTAGATACTCTATTTATATGGCATGGGAATGTGGTATCCCAAAGTCAATCTCAAGTTTCAAAGGATCCTATGGATTAAAAGATACTGTCTTTAAAGTATGCATATTTTTTCTCCTTGTTGAAAAAAAAAAAGGCCTGTGAATTAAGATTAGAAATATGACTGTAACTGCACTTGACAGACAAGTCATTTAAAGAAAAATCTTAGTCACATTAGAATGACTTTCTACTTTTAGCATGTCTTTGCCTTATTGATTAGCATTCCTGGCATTTCTGAACATTTTTGTCATAGAAGCATGGTTTTTGTGTATAGTCATCAGATTCTTCCCTTCAAGTGAGAGACTTGTCAGTGAAGAATGAAGTGAACCGTAACAAAGATGCAGAAAGCGTAGAGAAGATAAATCTATATGAACTGGAACAGCAGCAACGGTTGATCACGGCCTGTCTGACTAAATGAGTGCTGGCCATGAATACTAGCAGAGATGTATACAGTGTCACTTCAGCGGCTTTTAAGAAACCAGTCATTTGCTTATGATGAGTCCCCAGAAATGCTTATTTTCTGCTTAAAATAGAAACATTTATTTATTAATAAGTAAAAGAAACTCCTAGGTGGCCTGTGCTAATCTGCAGAGAAAATAATTATAGAATTTTGGGCCAAGGTCTTATTTTATACAACTTGTGTTAAAAGATTGGAGGTAAATATAAAATAAAGCTTGTTCTGTTTTTCTTAATTATAAAAACAACATACTTAGAGCTGTTCTCAAAGAATGCAAAGTAAATGGTGATCGAGTAAGGTTTTATTTCATTCATAGTTGCTCTTCCTGATTTTTGCTCTGCTGCTTGCTGAGAGTTTGAAAGTGAAGTCAATGGTTTGTTGTTATAGCTTAATTACTTTCTAAAGAAGTAAGCTACCTGTGCCATGAGTCTGTTCTTTGGTGTGTTAATATAGCATATACCCTTCAAAGGAGACTTGATAAGTCAGTACCAAAGACTGATCCAAAAGGTCAATTACAATCCTTAATAGTACTCAGAGGTGGAGCCAAGGATGGAAACCCTGTGTTCTAAAGGAGTACCACCCATCTATGAGCAGTAAACTCTTTGCAACCCCATGGACTGTAGCCCACTGTAGCCCACAGGCTCCTGTGTCCATAGAATTTTCCAGGCAAGAATACTGGAGCAGGTTGCCATTTCCTTCTCCTGGGGATCTTCCCGACCCAGAAAGAGATCAAATGTCTCTTGCACCTTTTATATTGGCAGACAGATTCTTTACCTCTAGTGTGGCTCCGGGGAAGGCCATACTATCCATAACTGGAATATAAGAGAATGGGCTGCCTCAACCTGAACCTGTTCTGTTGGCATGATGAGGATAAAAATGTACTCATTTACAGAAATACTGTCAAATAATGGAAGCTAAGTTTAGCAAATTATTTGGCCATTTATGTTTAGTGCACAAAATTCTTAATTAATGAAATAAAATACCACAATCCAAGGTAAATCACTTTGCTAAGCTTTCAGAGTTCATAAGGTATTTTGTCTTGTGCAAGAGCTACTTGCAAACCCCTGCTGATCTGGCACTCATATAGCAATTCCCTGTAGAACTGAGTGGAAGAATGAATGCAAAGGGAGCCAATTAAAGAAACTTTGAGCCCAAATAGATAAGCAGAGGCCATCTTGTCCATCCTTCTGCCTCCAGGCAAAAACCATCCGCTGTACCACAAGTTTTTGCGTGAATCCTGCTGACAAAAATGCTCACCACATGTAAATGAGAAGTCATAATCCATTTAATCAACTAAAGCAGATTGTTAACTGAAGACTTGTTTATTGTGTTCTAAGATGCTGAATATGAAAGCTCATCTGAATTGTTTTAATTCCTCCTTTCTAGACAATTATTTTATACAAGAAACATACTCAAATAATTGTAAAGCTGTGGGAATTTTGTGCCCAGAAAATAAGTTATCTTTATCATCTTATTAAATGTATTTTTGATTTCCTTTCACTGTAGGTCTACCTTACGGGTGGGAGGAAGCTTACACAGCAGATGGAATCAAGTACTTCATCAAGTAAGTACAAGCATCCCAACCATGTAAGCAGTTTTCTTCACATCTGGAGAGAACCTGGAAGTTGCAGAATAATCAGTAAAACCAAGAAACCCTCTTGGAGGTTACAAAAATTAGTAACAAGAAATGAAACTTCACCATTTTCATCTCATGTGATTTAAATGTTAATATCATTTAGGGAGGAGAAAACCTCATAATCAATTCAAGGGAAACATCAAAAAATTGGAACAAGACTGTCACTTAAACCCAAATGTTGGCTGCCTGAATTCATTTCTGGCTAAAAGTATTAATATTTATGCAAAGTTAATATCTATTGAAAAAATCTGTTTTGTGTCTTAAAATTTATTATCAATAATACTAATAATAATCCACATTTTTCATGCTTTACAGTATACACAGTTCATTCATTCTACAAAGATTCTTTGAGCATTTGCTGTGTGGCAGGCAATATTCCATACTGTAGTGAAGTATATAGGCTGTTTCTCTGATATTAGGGAATTTACTTAGTAGGGAAGAAAAACATTCAATATATAACTGAATAGATAAATGAGACAGTGTAAGAACAGATCCCATCTCAGTGGACTCTCAGAACATCCTTCATTTAGAGAAGAAGAAAATAAGTAACTAGAGAAGTTGCCCAAAACTCCACAGCTAACTACATCACCAAACCAGGAGAGAATCCAAGTCTTCTGCCACCAGGATTCTTTCTGCTGTACTAGACTGTCACTGAGAGAGACCTTTCTTTTAACGTCTTGACAGAAATGCGTTTTCTAGCTGTACTTCCACTGTATTCTGGGTAGCTCTTCTCATGTCAGAGTTGGAGTTAGGAGAACACAAAGCGGCTCGCAGCAGAGTCTGCAGATCTCAAGAGACCTTCTTACACGGCCTTTTCTTAAGCAAATGATCCTTGATATGCACGTGGGGAGGAAAAGAGAGATGTGTCCTTGCTGCTCTTTCAAATGTAGAAGTATTTTTCTAAACAATATCCACATTTTGAATTTTTAAGTTTTGTGATTTTACACAGATTCCCACATCTCTCTTCATCTCAGTTTTCTCATCAAAAAATAAGGGGGATTTTACCTGCTTTGTAGAGTTGTTAAATGTTAAGCACCTACTATAAAATTTTGAACACAATAGATGCCTAGTAAGATAGTCATCATTAATTTACAATATGGAGAAAACATCATGGTGGAAAAAAGAACAGGAAAAATTGTATGACATTTAAAACATTTAAAAATTCAAAAGCTTCATATTTTAAAAACATTTAAGGAAAAGCTAGGGGTAAACCTGGCAAAGTATTTTCTTGATTTATTTTTCTTTTGGTCTCTAGCAAAAAGTAGTTAACAAAGCAAAGATGTAGCTTATAACATATGAAGGAGAAAGGGACTTTTGGAGCAAAGAACTCAGGAATTCCATGTACAGATTACATTCAGGGTCACTTCCCAAATCGTAATTCTTCCAGAAGGAACATTTTTCTTCAATATGCTGTTTTAAATATGTTTATTTCCTGAATGACTTGAATCAGTATTGTGTAGGGATGGCAAGAAAATGAAAAACCACATTCAAATTTGCATAGGATTTCTTTCTTATGTCAATTGGGAAAGAATCCGCCTGCAATGCAGGAGACTCCGGTTTGATACCTGGGTCGGAAAGATCCCCTGGAGAAGGGAAAGGAAAGTCTACCCACTCCGGTATTCTGGCCTGGAGAATGTCCATGGGGTCACAAAGAGTTGGACACGACTGAGCAAGTTTCACTTCACTTTTCTTTCTTATGTTCACTTTGTGATGCATATGGGAAAAAGTGTAGGGATGGGGGATGATGCTCAGCAACTCGGCATCTGTTAGGTGTTTTTTTTAATGCATTATATCAAGTAATCTTCCTAACAGTGTGGAAAGTGGGCATTGCTCAGCTCTTAATAGGATGATATGATGGTGGTGAGCTGCATCCTGCTGTCAACCATGCCTGTCTCCTAGAAGATCCCCAAAAGAAGTGCTCCATCAAAGAAAGGCAAACTAGCCTTCACTGTAAACCAGGGCTCTTAATTCGGAGACCTTTGAAAAATGTCGGTAAAGGAGTCTAGACGCAGTGGGGAACTCCTTCCCCCCAGCTGAGCCTTCGCCACCTGTCAGTATCCTGACACAGAGCTGTGTCAGAGCCTACGCAGTGCCCTGGGAGGGAGGGATGCTAAGGGCATCACCACCCACCACCAAGGAAAGGGAGGGAGAGACGTGCGGGTGAGAGTGAGGACGCCCCATCGCCTGGGACCCAGAGGTTTAAGCCACTGTCCTTTGCGGGCTGCAACAGTAGCCTCAGGCTGGGCTTCTGCTACAAAGGAGAATAGCATCCAAGGAGAGGAGGAAAGAGAAGTAAGCAAGCCCTTTGACTGCCTTGAGATCTATCTCAGTCTCTGTGAAGAAATAGAAAGAGACACTGCATTTGTGTAGTCTACTCCAGTCATAGGAAACACATTCCTTAGGGAGTTCTCCTCCTTGACCTTAATCTTAACTCCTACCAAAAGCAGAAAAGAGAGATTTTTTAAAGGATAGTGGTGGGTATCCTTGTCTCTCTGTTGCAGTTGGAGAAACTGGAAAAGAGGCTTAACTTGTCCAGGTCATGCAGTAGTAAAATTTCAGAGCCAAGATACAGATCCAGGGTTGTCTGAGTCCAAGCCATCCCCCCAAAACATGCGCCCATGCTGCACCTCTCCATCTCCCTATTTTAACATCGTATGTTTACATGTGACCAGAAAAATTTTTTAAACAGATCTTGATTAAGTTAGAATTCTATACTTGTCTCATGGAGGAATGGGGTGCTTACCATCCAGCACCAACATTTATTTTAGTTTAATTATTCTTAATGGATGTCTCATTCTAAAAGTACTGCATGCTTCCCTACCTTCTTATACCAAGGCCAGTGAACAATATCATTAGAACATCAATCTTATACACAATTCAGTGAGTTCTGCAGGGGAATATTGAGCAGTATAAGCTAGAATAGAGACACAACTGTCATCTCTCCATGCTCTCAGCATGCCTGGCCATCTCCTTATCTCCATTCCCCTTTTTTATCCTCTACACACTTTACCATCTTCCCCAGGAGTTTCTTATTTGAGGAAGACAGGATGCCAAATAATCAGACTAATTTGAATTGCTTGTAAATAATTCTTGAGTGCCGAAGATGTAAAAGAATACACTTGCAATGCAGGAGACCTGAGCTCGATCCCTGGGTCAGGAAGATCCCCTGGAGGAGGAAATGGCAACCCTCTCCAGTATTTTTGCCAGGATAATCTCATGGACAGAGGATCCTGGTGGGCTGCCATCCATGGAACCACCAGAGTCTGACACAGCTTGGTGACTAAACCACCACGAGTCCCGAAGTGTGAGTCTGCAGGGGACTGTATGTGAACCAGACGTGTAAGTTCCCATGCTGGTGCATTTGTCTGAGGAAAGCCATCTGGTGTGGGGAAGAGAAGACCCTGGGCTTTGGGTTTGCAGCAAGTTGGGTTCAAATGCTGGTGGCTGCATAGGATTGCTGAACAACCTCGGCGTATGTGCTTAATTTCTCTGGGCTTTAATGTCTTCATTTATAAAATGCAAAGACTATTAGTCCTTCATAGAGTAAATTCCTCACAGAATGAATGAGTTTGTGTATGTAAAGAGTGTATCATGACACCTGACTCAGATCATACACTTTGAGCCAAGGTTAGGCCTCTTCACTCCCTCCTCACTGCCATCTCCATGAGGGTTTCATCTCAGCTCTTAGTTGCATTCAGGTGGGTTGCTAAATAAGTAATGTCCAAATAAGCAAGTATCCACTTTATGCCTTCCTATTTAGATTTTTGGTTTTTCATCTTCTCACTATCCCAACCAAAATTTTGAGCCTGGATAGACTGTGTTAGCTTTTGAGTAGGAGTAGTTCATTTACCATGTGAATCATACTTTGGAGGTAAGAATAGCAAGTAATGAACTCAGGTCATTGCTTCTGTCACCTTTACTTAAAAAGAACAGTGACTGAAATCACCTTTTGGGAACATTGGAGTAGACGATAGTCTGTGTACATACAATCTCTTCCCTGAGATTGACACCTGTCAGCATCTTGCCAGAAACTGAAAGGTTCCATCTGGTAGAAGCCTCGCCTTGGGCAAAGGAATAACTGTCAGTGCTGTCCCGAGAACACCTAGATGAAGACGGTCCTCACTGAATATTCCCATCCACCCACATGTCCATTGCACTTGCATTAATACTTTGTAGTCAGTCATCTGCTTACATTCTGACACAAGAGAAGAAAGCATTTTACCTGGTGTAAACAAGTACAGTCAAAATGCTGGCATTGTTAGAGCCAGCATTTCATGGAATTAACAAACTTCTATGTATGTATATGTGTATATACAAATATTTGTATTCACATATGCAAATAGGCAAAGCTTACCCACTTGCTATATGTATCAATGCATTCAAGGAAAATTTTTCTTCTTTTCTCATTAGAGAAAGAATTACAGCATTCTTCTATTCAATGACAAAATGCCAGTTATCTTGATGTTGCTATAATGAAATTATCTAGTGAATCTAACCATCTTACCACCCAACTTCTTATCTTCCATTTGTAGTTATATACTATTACATATTTACAATAGTTTTTTGACATGATTCCACTTTAAAAGTTCATATACTTTGCATGTTATAATTTAACAAAATTATCATAAGACCTATGTTTAATAGTAAAAAATGAACTTAAATATTACAAACTAGAATAGCTGCTACATTGCTTTCATTGAACTCTTTTTTTTCTATTGAAAAAAAATAGAGATTCACTGTGATCAATAGCCTTGATTTCATGTATTAATTCTCTATTGCTGCTTAATAAATTCCCACAAATTTTGCAGCCTTAAACAGTAAACATTTATTTTCTTACCCAAGTTTCAGAGGGTTAAGAACCAGAAGTGCTTTTACTAGATCATTCTGATTCTCTGTCTGTCTGGGTTTCTCATGAAGTTGTAATCAAG